CCCGGGCACCGCGGAGGGGAGGGGGAGAGGGACCGAGGGGACAACGCGCTCCCTCGCTCGGCGGGGAACCGCGAAATCATAACACCCTTCCCCTTGGGAGACTCATCAGCCACAGCTCATCATCCTGGTCAGGGCCGAGCCGCGTCCCTCCCTGCAGCCCCAACATGCTGGGGGGCTCTGGGTGCCCCCCCCCATTTGCCTTTCATTACCAGCGGAGGATGAGGGCGACGACAGCACTCAGGGCTCCCGCAGCGCAGACAGGTTTGGGGCTAAATGGCCCCGAGACAGCAGGAGGCTGATTTCCTCCCTTTTCATCCGCTGCCCACAATTTGCGGGCCATTACAATTAGGGTCCGGGGGGACCAGCGCTGTGACTGGGGTGATTCAGCTGGCTCCTGGACAAGAACCTTTCACACCATTTATTCTTTTTTTTTCCTTTACAGAAACTCTCGATTCTCGTGATGCGGATGAGCTCGTCCATCAGGTTTCCCCACCCTGCGAGGTGTTTACCATGAACTTCCTGCACAGACAGCTTGCAGGGATGGAACTAGCCCGAAAATACCTTGAGGATGAGGAGTTTCAGGCAGCAGAGCTGGTCACGAGGAGGGGATGAGGCCCTTTTGAAACTGCTCTTTCAGAAAAAAAGACAAAGTGATCAGAACACTGGATTTCAGGTATTTTTATTTTAGTGTTCCATGAAACCAAAAGGCATTCAAAAACAAATAGGTACCCAGGCTAAAAGCAGACAGTATAAACAGGGAAAAATACATTCAGATCCTTCAATAATAAAACAATACATTTGATTCTTAAGGCCCTTAAAGTCAAGGTAAAGCACCTTGCTGGACATAAAATGCCAGTCCCCTTACGCCGAAGAAAGGCTTTAACTAGTATTGCCAATAAAAGACTGAGGTACAAGGTTTGTGCGATGCTTTCACGGCCACAGAAGTTGAAGCGTGGCTGGTGCGGGACCGTGACCCCGCAGCGGCGCCCGTGCTGCTCCGGCAGGAGGCTCAACACACGCAACCACCGGAGAGAACAACCTCAGGGGCAAAAGCCAGACACAGCCCGGCGTCCACCTCAACGGCCACGGCTGTAACTGGCAAAAAAGGCTGCCAGGAGAGGATATTACAAGTTTTTAGGCTTCATCTCTACAGAGACCGCTAAGAGCGCGTATTACCGCTTTGTTTCTGTGCATGTAACTTCAAGATGCACATTCTTGCCAACAGGAATGCACATGATCCGAACTTCATAAAATCCATGCTCCAAAAGCATCGCGCACAGCACCGTGGTGCCTTCAGCAGCCTGAGACTCAGTAGTACCCATATTGTTTTAAAATGAGGCCAGCAAAAAGCAAGAGTCCAGCCTTGCTTCCCACGTGTCCAGTTAAGACTACCGATAATACCATTTTTGAACCGTTCAAGTCACCGTTCAAAGGCACAACCAGTTTTTCTGACTCTCTGACCTAGAACATCAGAAAGCCATGGAATAAAGTCTAGAAGACAAGTTTATTAGTGAGGTATAGGCAACCGTTTCTTTCCAGAGATCCACTGAGGCACAAGGAGGAAACAAGTTAATCCTTCATCTTCCTCACTATTTCAAGGCACGAGAAGCAGCAGCAGTTTTCAGTAAGGCCACCCAGTACCACTCAAAATTAAAACCACCAGCCAAGAGCTGAAGATGCCGCTAAGACCTTCTGCATTTCAGACCCTTCATTCACAGAAGAGGGTACAGTAGAAAAGAAATAACCCCTTCGCTGAAGACATCTGCTCAAATAAAAATAAAATTAGAACAAAGTACCTGAAGCCTTAGAAGACTCTTAACGCTTAAGACTTGTTTCAACTCAAGCTTCCCCTGAAGGAGAGCTCTGTCAGAAAAGCTCCAGACTTTGGTAGTTAGTCAGTTTACAGTAATAAAAAGGTAATTAACAGCGTTTTGTGAATTTTCCAATAAACGTACACATCTCTAGGCAAATATATTAAACTACTCTTCACTACAAAAATACAGTATTTGAGAAGTCTCCAGTAGTTTTCAGTGTTTTATGAAAATAGCAAGCAGACTACTAACAGGTTGATAGTCGATCCAGCTAGTCTAGTCCCTCAATAAAGTGCTTTGCTGTAGAAAAATTGAGTTAGAAACTCCCCCCTTTCGAGCTAAGCCAGGAGCGACCCAATAGACCCTTTCAACTTCCGAAGGTAGGAGCGTTAGCTTTGGTCCTCTGCCACCCACGCTTTCGGTATTTCAACTTTCTTCTAAGCCTTGTACGGACTCTTGCAACCCTGATAAATCCCAGAGATGCAAAAGAGGCATCTGATTTTTTTGATCTTTGACAAGAGCTTGCCAAAAAATAAAAGCCACATTTAGTTTTTCAGTGGAGGAAGCCTCTTGCGGTGGCTGCTCGATAGCGCTCTGCTGTTATTTGCTGTCCGATGAGATGGGGAGGAGAACATACCTGTGTCTGTTGAGCTGCAAAGCAGCCACACATTAAGGAAGCAGACTGAGGTATCGATTGTCTAGCAAAACCAGCACTCTTTCTCAGCTACATAAAATTTTCATTGCATTCTGAGCAGCAAGTCACAAAAGAAAACCAAATCAGATTTCAGTGCTAGCTTTGTGACTGCTCCCATCTCCAGGGGAGGGCGATTTGGTTCCTCTCTTGGCTGTGTAAGGAATGCACGAAAGCAAGCGTTGTAAGACTGATCATCTTTGAAGGTCGTTCCAAGATAAGCCCCGGCTCCAAAATCCAAGGTATTTAAATTTAATAAACTGCAATGGCGTAAAAGAAAAATCGTCACAGAACTCCCATACAGAAAGAGACAGGGGCCACGCACGCATACTGTGAAATCCTCACCTATTTAAGACTACAGAACAGAAACCAGGCGTACCTTTGCCTCCCCTCATTTGAACGACCTTCGAATCAGGAATTTGAAGTCTATAAGAGAACAGCTTCTGATTTAAAATGCACCTTTGGCCCAAATTCATTACTACCATTCCCACGGTAGACAAACATACCATGACATCTCAATGTTTCCCATACCAAAAAAACCTGTAAATCTTCCCCTTGGAGAACTGCTTTGAAACAATATGTACTTTATGAGATTAACTAAGCTTTGCTTCTTCCTTTCCAATCTAAGGTTTAACTTGCATTCGACTTTTAGGGCATTAATTACTTTTAAAATACAGCCCGCACAGCCCTGGTCTGAAGCACACATCTTTGGACTTCTCCAGTGTAGTTATTAATATTTTTTTTTTTAAAAACAATCAAATCCTCAAGCTCTACTGTACAAGATTTTATATTGCACTACAACTTAAGATATGGAAAGAAGAGTAATTGATCTACCAAAGCCGCTACAAAACCAAACCATTAAAAAAGTCTTCATAAAAGGATCACCAGTGCCTTGCTGGCAAGCAAAACACATCAAAGCCCCTTCACCCTTCCTATCGCAATCAGCCTTTGGATTAGATGCCTGAACAAATCTTCCCAAATAATGGAAAGAAACCAAAAAATAAATATGATAAGTTGACTCCACCTCTGGACTCCATACACAAGACCTGATGTAACTACTAATCAAACTGAGAGTTGCTCAAGGCAGAAACAGGAAAGAGGTCATTTTCTGTGGGCAGCACAACCGGTACCACCTACTTCACATCGTCTCCTTATTAATCAAACCCCACTGGCGGGAATTCAGTCCTTTGTTCAACCAACGTCCCGAGAGCTTTTACATCTTTCCAGCTTTTTTGTTTCCAGACATTGAAACACGAAGAATGTTTGGGGTTTCTTCCATGACTCTGACAAGCAAGTTATCGATGTAGTCTTCAAGCTCACGCACCTGGAGATCTTTCTTGGTAATTGTATCCTTCTGTTTCAAGACCAGCTGGATCAGCTCATCGTGTGTTAGCTGAGCATAAGCATAGGCAGGATCTGAAGGATCATATTTCTTCGAGAGAGAAGAAAGGCAGGGTCATTACAGACATACCGGCATTTCAAAATAGCAACAGAACGGTATCTGGTAGCTGGCTTGTGGGATTTAAAGCACCAATGAACAACTTCACACACAGCGTTTGCAGAACCACAGCTGCTCTTCAAAAGCATTACCGTGCTTCGTATCTTTTTAAAAAATAAGTTCCACCCAAACGACATTTCGGAACATCAGTCATTAGCACTTTATTATCGAGAGGAGCAGGCTGCCCAGGGCCAAGCTGCGCAATGGCCAAGGCACTAACAACGACAGGGAGAGGCTGGCAGGCCAGGCAAGCGTTCTCCTACAAAGCACCTTTTGGGCCATTAGCAAACCCAGCCTGGAAAAATTCATACAAAACACTGTCTCTACTCATGCACTTCCAGAATGCAGAATAGCTTTTTGAAAATATTTGGAGGAAAAAAGAGCAACTGCCTCAGAGTAAGTGCATGCTACTTATGGCACAGCAACACAACTTACAGAGCTTAGGCAGTCTTCTCCAGAACAGAAGGCAGGCTCAGAGCGAGACAGACGGTAAGCAGGCCATCGTTTTAGCATAAAATCTTTGCGTAATGTCAGTTCTGTAATTCAACTCTTCTCCAGTTTACACTGAAAGAATGTCATGCTGACCCCAGGCAGCAGCCCATCCAGCTTAGCGAAGATGCATGGAAGTTACAGCCACGCACCATCAACTACCACCGTTTATAGACGAGCGCTGGGACAGCTACTGTTTAAAACAGACCAAAGACTAGGAAAGCCAAATTCAGGTTAAACAGCAAGAAACACCCATCTAGGCCTTTGGCACTTCCCTCTTATTGTAGTTATCACTGTGAAAACACACCACAACACAGCTTCTCTTCTGCTTTTAACCCTTAAGCAAACTGGACAGGTACTTAGCAGCTTCTGCCAACTCCTCCAGCTACCTTCTCAGACGCTACACCAGAATGCCAGCCCAGGCTTTTCTTTCACAGGGCGTATGCATACAACAGGCTCGCGTGACTACCTCAAGCATAATTTCTTATGTGGAATCAGAGCACCACACCAGAATGCTAATTACAAGTTTTCAACTCGTTCAGAATAGCAACGTGTCCGTTTGAATCATTTAACTCGCATTTTCTTCTTTTCCATTTACACCAGAAGGAGGCACTACAGTTATTTTGGTACTAACTTTTCATTTTCCCCAAAAAACCCTTAGAGACAATAACGGTACCCAGGGTTTTGCCCTGCTGACCTGAGATGCCTCTAGCCATTCTGATCAACATGACTTTTAAGCTGTGCCTCAAGCCTGGAGGTCTCTTTTGAGTCCAAGATTATGCAAAAAGCTCCTTTAAATCTGAGTGATTATGCAAGCTGCACAGCTACGCTTTTAGGAAGCAGCTGTGCTTTAATGGCAGGCGCCTGGTCTCTCAACCTGCACAGGATACTAATGCAACACATTACAAGGCAACAGCCACCCCGAGGTTACTTTTCCCACCTTCTCGGCTTTAAGAGCCACATACTTATTTCAGGGTGAAAATGAGCTTTGGGGACTAATCACGTCTGACAGTAAACAGCGACTAATTCGTCCGGTCTTCGGTGCAGATCCAAGTTACGCAGCTCCCACACGTCACCAACGGGACTATCTTCCAGGGGTAGCACCGCCCGTGAGTCACCCGTCATTCCTGTCACAGCCACCTCATGGCTCACACACATCCCGCTCACCTCTGGGGAGTCAGAGGGCACCCCGCGCTCCTCTCCACTGAGAATCCCCTCCGCAAACAAGAGGCACCAATTCCATTATAGATCAGTTTGCAAGGAAAGAAAAATATTTAAAGATTGTCCCCACCTTTGGGGACTGAGAAAAAGAAAGTTCAGGCCCCCCACGGTCTAATAACCACTGTTCCTTTTTCTGCTCAGGATATATGAGCTATGAGCCTAGGCAAACTAGCCCAAACACACAAACTCTTTTCAATTTACTGCTTAAGCTCTGGTTTAAAGTGCCGCTTTTCTCCATACCTTCACGTTCATCTCCAGCAGCTTTTCATTCATAGTGCTGATGACGTTCAGGTTTTTACTTTGAGACTTGTTTGCTGTGGCATTCATTGGCTTCACAGGATGGAGTCTGCAACATTAAAAAAAGGTTTATGCTATTTAGGCAGTACATATAACACCAGCACTACACAGATCTTCAGACTAAAAACAAATACAGCACGAAATTGGGAAAAATCCCTACCCTTCTCTATCTCCAGAGAGATAAGAGATTCAGCTTTGGGAAGACAAGGCATTTCTGTCTAAGCTATAGGCTTTTTAGAGGTATACTCAGTTCTCTTTCTACTA